TCCTTTGCAATGCCTGACATAACTAGCCTTGGGTGACAATTTCCTTTTCTGAAACTGGAGCAAAAATTTACAAGTTCAAGCATTGTAGGGGTTAGGAATTCCCCAGGGGAAGGCAGAGGTATTTGTCCAAGGTGGGCAGGGCCACCCCTCATTGGGCTCTGGGTTCACCTGGGGCTTACCCCTTCAGTTCCCTGGACCCCAGGGCCTCCCTTGCTCTGACTGGAGTTGAGGGGTGAGTGGAATACCTGAAGATAGACTAAGACCTTTTCCATTAGCACTGGGTTGAGGTCTGGAGGGTCAGTGGGTGCCCTTGGCCTTCAGTGTGGTGATGTCTGATGCTACTGCCGCCAGTCAGGCGGGCCTCTAGCTGAGGCTCCTGGAGCTCTTGCTGTGTAGCTATTGATCGTTCTCTCAGCAACTCTATCACTTCCATCTGACGAATGAGGAAACTGAGGCACATGGGGCTAGTGTGCAGCCTGGGGTCAGGCCAGCCTTCTCAGTCTGACCTCTCCAACAGAAGGTGCCAGCCCTTCCTGCCATCCTCCTGCTGGGCCCCCTGACTGCTGGATGGTAAATGGGCACTGAGCCGTGGGCTGGGCAGAGCAGGGGTTGCAGATGTTACAGCCGGGAGGGAGACTTGGAGGAGGCAGTGTGGTTGCAGAGGCAACTGCCCATCGATGGCACGAGGGCATGAGGTCAGAGGTCAGATCTTGAGGCCAGAAGGAGGGGGCCTCCCTGGGCCGGGGGACAGGCTGTGAAGTGCAGGTGGGAAGGGCAGGCCTGGATTAGCCTGAGCCGGACAGAAACCTTGTGGGTTGGTCTTTAAGCTGCTGTGGCTGGGCTGGCTCAGAGACCCTTGAAGGGAGTGGGGGAACTGCAAGGATTGGGGATCCTGAGGATGGAGCAAAGGAGGAAGCGGGAAGCGGAGGACTATCCCCCAGCTAGAACGCCAGGGTCAGCTTTGCCTTCCTGTGAATTCTCATTTCCCAGTGTGCATTGCTTCTCAGAGCTCCCTCTAGTGTTGAAGGTCAACAATGCAGCACTCTTCCCCACCCACAATCACCCAGCACCTGCAGGGGTGATCCTGAAGCCCCACCCGCACCCAGCCTCTCTTTTCCTAAGATAATAAGGCTTCATGTGGAAGTTAGACACAACAAGAGATTAACAACTGATAGTAAAACTCATTAAAGCCTGAGGTAACTTCCCTCAGAGCACAGAACTGGCCACACAGTCTGTTCTGTTTCCCGGTTCAAACACAGGAGGCTGGTGTTGAACAAGTGAGGGGAAGGGGCTGCCTGGAGGCTGATCCTCTCCAGGAAGATGTAGGGGTACCCAGAGCCTGGGCTGCTTCCCCGGGGTATAGCAGCCTCCATTAGTTGAGCTGGCAGTGAGGGATTGCAAGGGTGAGGGGGCTTGCTGGAAACCAGCTTCCTAGCGTGTCCTGCCCTGCCCTCACGCTCCGCACCAGCCCAGGCTGGAGGAGGGAGTGTGTGGCAGAGGCTTGGCCTCACTGCTGCATCTCCTGGGCAAACCAGGGGTGAAAGGGCTTCGATGATCTCTTATCAGAAGAATGCCTCTGGTTCGGAAAATCCAGCCTCTCTGGTTCCTGGTGGCAGGTCCACCTGCTTGTGTGTGCTTGGCTGTTGGGGTGGGGCCCAAGCTGGCTTGGGCAGCAATGGGGATTGAGAGGTTTGTAGGCAGGTTTGTCTGCAGAGTGAAGGGACAGCACCTGCTGTGTCACCTGCGCAGGGTTGAAGAGGAAGGCATGAAGCCTTCTCTGAGCACGGGTTGCCGTGGCTTCTAGGCCTGACCCTTCCCTTGTTCAAGGTCTTGACCTTGGTGGTGATCTTCTGGGACTGGGAATGCCCAGAGCAGGGCCAGTAGAGGCAGACCAGTGGTCCCAGACTCCTGGCCCTGCCAATCTACTGCTGACTTCTGGAGCCTACATCCATTGGACACTTCCAACTGTTGGGGGATTGGGGCTCTGTAATTCCAAGGTGGCCCAAGGGCTGGGTTGTAACCTGATTTGTGATTACACTTAATTTTTTTAATGATTTGCAGGGCCCAGCATAGTAGCCTAGTGGCCAAAGTCTTCTCCTTAAATATGCTGGGATCCCATGTGGATGCTGGTTTGTGTCCCAGCTGCTCTACTTCCCATCCAGCTTCATGCTTATGGCCTGGGAAAGCAGTTGAGGATGGCCCAAGACCTTGAGACCCTGCACCTGCATGGGAGACCTGGAAGAAACTCCTGGCTCTTAACTTGAGATCAGCTTAGCTCCAGCCATGGGAAGATAGACAATAAGACAGCCGGGTGAAGCTGGGGCCCATGGCTGGAATTCTGTGCCAGGTGGCTGAAAGAGGCAGGGAAAGGAACCCACACATTCTGGGGGTGCGTGGCCCTGCCAGCAGCCCCTCACTACCATGTGTCACCTGCTTCCTGGTACTTGGCCACAGTAGCTGTAGGAAGCCAACCTAGCCGGGGAACTGGGGATGGGGGAGGGGTCCTGTCTTGCGAAGCAACCTTAGCACTTGTCCCCATCATGCCTCATTAGAGTCAGCCGCTACTGTTTCCCATATCAGAATGCCAGTTCAAGTCCCAGCTGCTTCACTTACTACCTAGCCTGGGAAAGCAGTCCGGAAGGGTATAAGAGCTTGGGTCTCTGCCACCTGTGTGGACACCTGGATGTAGATCCAGGCTCCTGGCTTTGGCCTGGCTGAGCCCTGGCTGTTGCAGACATTTGGGGAGTGACCCAGCAGATGGAAGACCTTGATTTCCTCTCTTGTCTGTTTCATCCTTGCCCTGTGATAAGCTCTACCTTTCAAATACATCTTTGTGGGAGAGAGAAACCCTTGGACCTTGGCTCCCTGATGTTGCCTGTTGGAAGTGAGATGCTATCCCACCTACTCAGTACTGCCACAGTCCCCCACAGGGGCACCTGGCCCAGCTCCTGCTGAGGGCTGTGGGGCACTGAGGAGGACCCCAGGGTTGGGGGGATTGGCAGTCCCTGGAACACACTGTGGCAAGAGCATGGTGGTCTGTGGACCTTAGCTCCTGGGTGCTTCTGCAGCATGGTCTTGTCTTTGGGGTCTCCCAGCTGGGCCTGGCTGCTCACCGCACCCCTCAGCCCTGCAAGCTGTGGCTTCTGTGCTCAGAGCCAGGCACGGAGGCCCTGACTTCATCTCTGTGGGCCCCAAAGTCCTAGGCTGGGCGTTTCCAGGGCCAGGAAGCGTGGAGGCCAGCCGCAGTGGTTTTGCTCTGGTCTGTGATTACACAGTCTGACTGCACAGAGCCATCTGCCAGCTGCTGTGCCCTAACCCTGTCCAGCTCAGCATTGGCCCTGGGGGTGGTCCTGCTGAGGTTTTGGTGCTGTGCTCAGAGATGGAAACTGAGAGAGACAGACATGGGATGGAGCGCCTGTGCCAACAGCACAGAAACTGGAGGGGGGTATTTACTGGTCTCACAGAAACTGCCCGTCCCGCCCAAGCCCATGGCTGCTGCTGCTCACTGTGGCATTGGCAGAGCTTCCAGTCCTGCCTTCGCCTCCTTGTTCCACTTCTTGGCATCCCTGAAGCATTCTTCATAACTCCAAGCATGACCAGACCCCTACAGGTGCTCACCCGGCCCGAGCCCGAAAACAATGGCACTCTGTGTGGGTTCCAGCTCTGTGCTACCCTGGCACTCCTGGGCAGTGTAGGCAGGGAAGCATGACCCATGCCTCCCTCTGAGCCCTTCACCCTGCCCCCCAAGCTGGAAGCTGTTTTTGTGCTGGGCAGGAGATCTCCCTTGCACGTGTGTGGTGCCAGCCTTGGAGAGCCGACATTACCCATTCCACACCAGGCCTGATGGGCTTCTATGTAGGAGACTTAGCAAGGCCAAGGGAGTTGGGGGCAGGGGGTTCTCAAAGAAGGGGACATGTGGGTCATCCCTTCTGGAGTGAGGGAAAGGAGCAGTCTTCCAAATACACCACCCCTGGCAAAGGCAGGTGTGACTGTCTGACTCTGGAGGAAGAAGATAGCAAGAGTTTTCTAGAAGCTGAGTCTCCCACGTGTCCAGGTGTTCCCTGCAGACAACAGTGACAACACATGCACAAGGATGGTGGCTCAGGGGAGCCCCAGTTGCAGACCCTACCCACCCCAGACCAGCTCCATGCCCCTGATTCCTGAAACTGGTTGGGGCTGTGGACCACGAGGGCAGGTGGCCACAGCTAACCCCACAGCCATCTCTCAGAGCTCCCGCATGTGGCTGCTGGCAGACCTGCATCACTTTGGCCTACTGCTTTGCCTGCTTTGGACCCTCCCCCTGCTGAAGCTTCTGGGAGCTGGGAGAGCCTTTGTGAAAGCTGGTGGGCTGTGTGTCACTGGGACCTCACTCTTCCTCTCTCCAACACTAGGACTTAACATTGCTTCTTTCCTGGACATAGACACTGACAGTGGGGTGCAATTATGCATGTGGGTGGCTTCAGCTGGGGGTACAGCAGTATCCCCACATTTCTAGGCTAGGCAGGTCGGAGGACAGTGGCTTCCCTTCCCATGGCCGCAGATGCCTGGTCTTGGGCAACACACGCCCTTCCCATACCTGGAGACAACCTGTGCCACAGATAGGTGTGGGGAAAGCAGGTACTCCTCTGTCTCACAGATGGGTAAACTGAGGCCCCGGAGAGCAAAGCCTTTTCCAGGTCCATGATCCCTGGAGATGCATGCTAAAGTGTGGAGAGAGACCAGGCTGCAGTCAGATGCTCTGACTCTGAGGTGGTTGGAGTTTCCTGGACCCTCATTTCCTATCTGGAATGCTGATTGGTGATCACATAAAGGAGGGCAGGTGGATGCTGTTGCACAGGAGCAAAACTGTCCATCATGGTGGGATCCCTGCGCTGCCTCCCACGCCTCCACTTCATCCCCTGCTCTCTGCTTCCTGTTGGCAGCTCCAGGCAGCCTGCCAGGCTGTTTCTCTGGAAGGAAGGAGGTACAAGCCCTAACCCCCTGTGGTTCTTTCCTTGCAGACTGTCAGTACACTTGCCACCCGGAATGCCGCAGCCTGATCCAGCTGGATTGCAGTTGGCAGCACAGCCCACCAGGAGATAGACCCTCTCCGGAGAGCACCCTCGCCCAGGTAGGCAACACAGCTCGTCGCCCAGGCTTGAGGGAGGACCCGCAGGAGCCCTGCACCTCTGCCTTCTCTCCTAGGAGCTCTGATGGGGGTGGGGGTGGGGAGCAAAGTGGTATATGTACCACCAAGTGTCACAGTCCTGCATGTGCTGGACACCAGCATCCTCTTCTGGCTGAGTAGTCTGCAGACCTGGCCCTTCCTTAAGGCCTTGCTTAAGGCACCGAGAGTGGTCACCCCAAACAGCTGGCAGACACACTACGAAGTGCCCTGGAGCGCTCGCCCAGAACAGAGCTGGATCTGACCCTAGTCCCCAATGGTGGGCCTGGCTGAGGGTGCAGTGCAACCCTGGGCAGCCTCCTGAAGGTCCCCAGGGGTGACCCAGGCAGTGGCCCAGTCGCATTGTCCTGGCCTCTCTGCAGCAGCCCGGCTGAGTCAGCGGGCAGAGCAGCCGCGCCAACACTCCGTCCCTGGCCAGAGGACCAGGAAATGGACGTCTGAAGCAGCCCTTGGGTCTGGATTTTGCAGAGGCACTTGAGCCATAATGTATCTGAACTTTGACATCTAGGATTTAGACTGGAGACAGAAGTGAACAGGTATTGAACCCCGCATTGAACAAGTATTGATCAAGTATCGACTGTATGCCAAGCACTTGGTGTGGGTGCTGTGGACGGGGATATGATAAATTACGCAGCTCAGTCCTTGGGGAGCTTATATCCTGGAAGGAAAGGCAGAATACAGTCAGAAAGCGTGCACTGTCACATGGTAAAAGGGTGAACCATATGACTCAGGTACATTGTATCTCTGCTGGGAGAAATGACGAAGGCTTCCCAAAGGAGGTGACATGTCATCTGAGCCTTCCTAGGGTGTGTCAGAGGCTGATGGTTGAAGGTTGCTGGTGAGGGAGGGACGGAGCGGCCCATGAATCCCAGGTGTCCTCCATTTCTGCATTTGACAAACATGCCAGGCCTGGGAAAGCTGCAGGAGCAGCGATGAGGGGAGCAGGCCTGGGTCCTGGCTGGCCCGTGCTGACAGGGCTGAGAGGGCGAGGCTCTAAACGAGCCCACCCAGTATCCAGGTGGGAAAAGCCCAGGGTGCTGCAGGAGACACTGATGGGGGACCCACATTGTTGGGGATCCCCAAACAGCCCCCAGTTCCTGTAGTCACTGCACCTGGCTTGTTCTGGCCCCAGCATGTCATTGTGTACCAGCCCCCATCCATTTCATTTTTGAAGAGACGCATTTATCTATCTGAAAGGCAGAGTTACAGAGGGGGGAAAGACCCAAAGAGAGAGATACAGAGACAGAGATCTTGCCTCCGCTGGTCCATTCCCTAAATGGCTGCAATGGCTGGGGCTGGACCAGGCTGAAGCCAGGAGTAGGGACCCCACTAGGAATCTGTCAACCCTGCCCATTTTCCATCCTGGAGCCTGGATCTCCTCTTGGAGTCTTTGTTCTGGCTGTGGTCTCAAAAGGGGGTGGGTTTGGTTTTTTTTTTTTTTGCCAGTGCCATCCCTGAGGACATCTGGCAGCAACTTTGGTCCTCATGCCTGAGGAGGGACGCTCTCCCATCTGGGGCGGAGGCAGAGGATACGACCGAGGGCTCTGGGAGGTGCCTAGCAGCCCGTCATGGCACCTAGTAGCCCCCCATAGAAAGAGCATCCCATCCAAATGCCCATGGTGCCAGATCGAGAAAGTCTTCTCTGGAGCCAAGGTCATGAGGTTCGCTGCCTGCGCTGCCCTCTCCTTAGAACATTTGAAAGCTACAGCAGCTTCCCTGTGCCGGAGAGCAGGGTGAGTGGCTGCCAGAGGACCCTGTCCCAAATACACCTGCCCCTGCAGTAACCTGGAGCAGGGAGCTACAGGATCCCCTTCCCCGCTCTTGGGCGTGGGTGGAATGCGCTCCCCACAGGCTGCCATGTTTGCCTTGGACAGGCCTGATTGCACGCGGCCACAGACCTGGGCATGACCAAGCTTCCTTCAATAAAACTTGGGCCTCGCTCCAGGCTCCTTTGCCTATTGTAAAAGGCTCGTTTGTGCTCGTTTCCTCCTTGGCTGGACTCTCTGTTGACGATCAAGACAGAGCTGTGTTTCCCCTTGGAGTGGCCTGAGCCAGGCGGTCTGGCGCGTGCTGCGGCTGGCACTCGCTGGGGTGCGGCCGGCGCTGAATTCAGCCTGTTGTGGGGTCCGGGGGAGGCAGTTGGAATTCGTTCTCCTGGCTGCTTTAAAACAGAGAAGATCATCGATCGTCCATGCAGAGGACCACTCCTCACCGCATTCTCATACGCTCTTCCGGTACATTCATACATTTTTAAGCACATGGCTGAGATCATCCTATAGACGAGTATTTGGTCTCAACCTTTTAAAAGCAAGAATCCCTGAGTTCTGACGGCCTTCTGCCTGGCCAGAGTGGGGAGGAGAGGAGGGACAGGTGTGGGAAGAGCCGGCATAGGCGGGGAGCCCTCATCAGGCTAGGGGAATTGGTAAGTCTCATGCAGGGCAGCTGGTAGTGCTATCGCCACAGAACCAGTGGTTTTACAGCCACCGCCCCCCATCCCCCCCTCAAGCTCCATGAGGCCTGGACATATTGGCCTCTTCCTTGGGCACCCATCGTGCGACTTTCAAGCCTGCCCAGAGCCTGTGGGCGTTCAAGTATATCCCAGAGAACTCCCTGGCAGCTGGCTGAAGACCATGGTAAATTCCCCCAGCAGCTGAAGATGCTCTATTGCAAGGCTTGCCCCTCTCCCAGCCCTCAAGGAATATCTCACTCCTGGTGGTCCCTCTTCATGGTGTCATTCCCATGGGGTCAGCCCTCGGTGGCCGCCCAATGGCTTCACCATGCAGTGGGACCTCCGATGGTTCCCTTTCTGCCCCCATCTTGGGGCAGCTGGTCCCAGAAGCCACCTCTGACCTTGACCAACAACTGCTGATGCTCATACCAGCAGGTGCAGCCGGGATGGGGATGGGGCCTGGCACCTCTGTTGCTCTGGCACTTGGTACCTCGAGTGCACAGCTTGTCGGAAGCTGTGGCACCTGCTTCCACTCAAGCCCCTTGCAGCCGGTGGGTGCTCGAAGCTTCTTCCATCCCCCAGGACCTTCCTCTCTTCCTGACCCTCCAGAGGCTCTGAGAGGGAGAAATCACAAAGCTGGCTTCCAGGACCCACCCCGCTCCCCACAGTCATTCCCAAACCCCATTGCAGCCCTGGCCTTGCACAGGATTTTGGCATGTCTGTGTCCTCACTGACTTAGTCTTTATCTTTAAATAGACTCATTTTAAATCAAAGGAAATTTGACAACCTCCCTGAATCCGTGGGTTGAAGCACTTGGGTTATTTTTCCCAGCAGATGTGAGATGTGCAGTTATCTCTAAAAAGAAGAGAGAGGCTGCCAGCCTGTCCCACGTGTACTGACCGAGCCAGGTCCTGTTCTACAGTCCTCTCAGGGGCCACCTGTGGGAAGTGCTGCCCTAGCCCAGAGGTTGCGCTCACCAGGCATGGCAAGCCAGGAGGGAGCACCTGGGGTGCTGGGAAGGGAAGCTGAGCCGTCCATTCATATGCATCCCCAAGGGTGTTCTTCCCCAGGGGAGAGGGGTGTCTAGAGGGACAGGCAGGGAATAGGGTGGGGACAACTTGTGTATAAGGGATGAGGTATATCCATGTATGTATATGCTATGTGTGTGTGCACGCGCATGCAGAATGAGTCTTAAAAGGGCTCAGCAAACTGTGGAAGGAGATTTCACCGGAGCAGGAGTTTGATGAACGAGGAGAGGGAGGCGGAGGCTGCGTTTGGGTCTCTGCTCTCGCCTGTCTCTAATTGTGGCATGTGAAAGGCAGGAAACGTCCCCTTAAAGGGAAGAAAGGCCCCTTCCTGGGTGGCTGCAGAGCTCAGCTATTTATTTACTTATTTATTAATCTACTTTTATTTGAAAGGCAGATTTACAGAGAGGAGAGAGATAAAGATCTCCATCTGCTGATTCACTCCCCAAATGACCATAATGTCCAGAGCTGAGCTGATCTGAAGTCAGGAACCAGGAGCTTCTTCTGGGTTTCCCACATGGGTACAGGGTCCCAAAGCTTTGGGCCACCCTCCATTGCTTTTCCAGGCCACAAGCAGGGAGTTGGATTGGAAATGGAGCAGCTGGGACACAAACTGGTGCCTATATGGGTGCTGGTGTTTTAAAGTAGAGGATTAGCCTGTTGAACCACAACACTGGCCCCAGAGTTCTGTTCTAGCCCTGGCTGTGGAGACAAAGCAGGCGGGCCAGGACCGGAAGCAGGCTTCTAGGAGCCTCCCAGGAAGGGAGCAGCATGCCGGGGCAAGGGACAGGACAGGCCATCTCTGAGCCTGCACCCCTCATGCCCAGGGTGAAATCCCTTGGAGCTTTCTGGGGACCTGAGAACAAGTCTAGATCTGGATGAGCCTGCAGAACGCTGGGCAGCTCTGCCAGCTTGCCAAATACCAGAGTGTTGTAATGTCCTGAATCCAGGGCCAGGGCTCTGGGACTTGGGGCATGGCAAGTCCCTTCTTTTGGCTATGATCTCTGCCTAACCCCGGAGCCCAAGCCACTGTTCCCATCTACAGACAACCTTCCCTCCACTCACCAAAGGAACAGATGATTTCCAAATCCCCTGGAGGGGGCAGGGATTCCACCCCGCCCAGCAGCCAGCCCTGTGGGTGTTGCTGCCTTCTCTGCCGTCCCCATCTGCACGCACAGATACACAACCCACCACCCTGGCTGCTTGGCACCGAGCCTCGGCAGCAGCACAGCCATGGTGACTCATCTGGCATGGGGTTCTGAATTTCCTGGCTCCGGCCAGTGCCCCCTCCCACACATTCGCCACTGTCTCCATTACACCCGTCTCTGGTTGTAGACCCCAAAAGATGCCTGGTGGCTTGTTCTGGGTCGCCCTCTGCCCAACCATCACATGTTGAACCCGTGATTACCACAAGGGGGAGCAGGAGAGCAGCAAGAGAAAAAGTGGAAAAGGCAACCACTGGGCTCGGGGTTTGGGAGCAGGTG